TGTCAAATAGGTTTGCTTGAATTTAGTTAGTATTAATGTGCAGATATTGTGGAAGTTGTTACCAGCTCTAGCAGGTGCAGCAGCAGCAGCAGCAGTGCTATTTGTAGCGTTTGCAATATCCTGAAACACTTTAGCATCTGGTGAGTTGGGTGGCAGATGGAGGAGAGCTGCATATATTACCCCAAAATTAACTTGTCAGTTTAAAATAGATAATAATAATAATAAAAAAAATAAAATTAAACATGTGTAAGATATCGAATTCAAATTAGTTTATTAAACTAATTAATGTGGGAAGGTTTGAATTTATCTGATCAAAATAAAAAAAATAAAAAAAAAATGTTGAAAATGGAGAAGATCATAGTTGTATATATATACTTGAGACTTGGAAAACAAAAGAGAGAAATTTAAGTTTGAAATTCACTGATCACTTTAATTAACTAAATTTGGAAGTAGATAACAAATGGGGATAAACAATTTTTATACGGAGTCAGCCAACAATTGACTCCCAAGTCAATTTATTTTCTATATAAGGCAAGAAAATATTATTAGATTTTTTAATTAGTTAAATAATACAATTGATTATTATTTTAATTGCAAAATTGCAAAATATAGACCGTATCTTTTAGGCGAAGAAAAAACTAGCCACCATCTTTACGAATTGATAGTAGTAACAAAAAACTTTTAAATTTTTGGAGTTATTACCCAAATCTGGTCAAATTCGACGAAATTGTGTCAGAATGCATACCCAACTGATGTGGAATCCACATGGCCTACAAATCTGCATCCATGTGGAGTCCACATTAGCCGAATGTGCGAGTTTCGACACAATTCCGTCGAGTTTGGCCGAATTTTATGTAATAAACCTGAGATTTTAAAAATTATTGGTTACCATGACCAATTCATAAAAATGGTGGCTATCATTGCCACTGCGTAAAATATACCGACTAGCTATATTTACATTTTAGCCTTAATTATTTTTGATTGGTAAGTTGATACGCAAATTGCCTACAACCGGATGGAACAAGTGCTAACACGAATGGCTTCGAGTGCTTTGTGTTTTGATGAGCTACGGCACCCCGGGGAGAGGTCTAGATGAAAAAGGCTTTGATGCTCAAATCAGTATTCGCCCGTGAGAATATGTAAATTGTATGCAAAGGCGTAATGATATTACCTATATCAAAGTAAAACCTAATTAGCTTTTATATACTAGAGTGTCTTGTTGCCCAAGTAGAGTCCTGACTAGAAAAGAGATCTAATCATATCTACTTTATAATTAGCTTATCACGTCTCTAAATTTTCAAACTCAGCGATATATATTTCCATCCTTGAAGGATTCTGTCCCTTTTACCATAAGACATTTAGATCCTTAGATCATATGAATGATATCGCAACCTACCTGCCATGGGCTATAACCACATCGTAACCACGACCTTTATTCTGCCGACTTCCAAGTCATGAGGTCTTTGCACCTATCCAAGATCATGAAGGAGCTCGACCTCCAAGTCTCTATCAGGTTAACCTATATCCTCGCTTGCCTAAGTTAGCTACTTGACGAGGTCAAACACTGTTACAAGCTTATTGTCACGCCCTTGTACCTCGAACGATGGGTGCGTGCGGCCCTAGCCCTCGTGTGCCCTTCACAAATAGCTAGGTCAGCCTCACCGTGCTCGAATCGTACTCAGTGTGTGCGAGTGCTTTGGCGGGAGAATAAAGATACTCAAGAGAGTTGAAGGGACAAGGCTTATATTGCAACTACTCAAACTCTAGTACAAAGTGGCTCTCAAATGCTTGGATGATTGGATGAGTTGCAAATGAGGGGGTCTCTTCTATTTATAGGCACCACCTCCTTTAAGAAATCATCTAGATCCTACATGGGTCTTGTGCCTTCTAGAGTACCCTTTCACAAAATCCTACTTCTTATACACATGCCCTATAACCTTCTACGAGACTCTTGCCCTATCTACAAACCTCTACAAGGTTCTAGGTTCTTCTGGTTCCTACTACAAGTATCTATACAATTCTAGAGCCTTCTAGAATCTTCCAGTCAAAACAAGGCCTTTCTTAAGGCATCTATGTACACTACCTAGATTTGGTGCGCCCTAGGTCATCAAAAGGACGAGTCGACCTTGTGTGCGTGCGTGCGGCCCTACTAGGTTCCTTCAGGTCTGAATGGGTTTGTTTATGCCAGACGTATCATTCTCACGTGCAGTCCTTGTGTGTGTGTTGTCTGTACACGCGTGTCGACTCGAGTCTGGTGGTGCGGTGCGTAACATTATGCTACCTTGGACCGGCTACACTCGAACTAACAATCCAAACTAGTATAGCGAGCTATCATGAGTGTTATATGATCACTCGTCACAGATACGAGGTTGGTTCGACTATAAAGCAATATTGGTTCCATATATAAAAACTGTGACATAATACCCGATCAAAGTACAACGTAACTTGTACCCCGGCCAGGCCAATGGGGCCAATAACAAAACAATAATGCATTTACCTTTTCTACCTTCGTTCTGTTTTTATTCGGCACCTCAACCCGGTCTACTTGTAGCATACATAATAAAAGCACATGCATTGTTTGTAAGCAAGTGCCCAACGGGTGCTGACTGCCCCGTCAAGATTTTTTTCTTAATAAAAATATCTTCTATATAATATATTTGTTTTTTGTATTTGTATTCCTAAATATTGTTATAGTATATATATAAAAAAAAAAAAACATGTTATGTAGCTTCTATAAATTTTCGTAATTTCCCCATGTATTATAAATATTGAAAATACAACTATTTATAGTATATAAATTATTAAATTTAACATTTTGACTCACGATACTAGGTCAATTTTAAAATATTCATTTATGATTAATAATAACAATAATAATTGGATTGGAGCATGTAATTAAGAAAGGACCTGGACAGTCTCCGACGGTGAGATTGATGGGCGCGTGACACCTGACGGGTAGGCCGAGAGCACGAGTGACATTGATCTTGAGGCCTAGGCTGGGGTCGTCTTTATCCTTGACCAGCAAGCATATGCACTCGGGGCTGTCGCGCACAATCCCGTTGAATCCCGTGCAACAGTCCATCGGGGGCGCATTCGCTTCGCCACTCACATACGGAAGGCATGTCGCTGCCCCAACCAATTGGTTCGCACATCTCTCCTTGTCCTTCTCAATATCGCATCTTGCAACACCAAACAAAAGTACTAGTGCCCCAAAAATCAACAAGGACCTCATCGTCTTGTGTTGTGTTGTGTTGTGTTGTGATGGATAGATGGATGGATGGATGGATGTTCTTTATTTGGAGAGGGGTTTTAATTTTATTTTATGTGCCCAGATTTTAGAAAACGTGCTTGTGGAGGACAGTGAGTGAGAATTGGAGATGGCCCTTGGATAACTATTACTATCTTGTAGTTATAGGGTGTGAACATGGAAAACTTTTTTTAAGTGAATCCAAAGTGGTGGGGTTTAAGGGAAATTAAAGTCTTTCTAGTTTGTTGTTAGTCATGGCCCAAGCAATTATGAAGCCTCACCTCACCCATCCCTCTTTTCTCTCATGCTTTTTAATACTTCAACATAAATAATACATCAATATAAGCATCAATTATGATGTGCAATTCTCCTTTGACCGGGAATATAGTTATCCTAGACCGGTTTTACTTCTTGAATGACCTTTGTGGACCCACAAAAGATGCAGAGATGTTTACTGCGATAAACCTCCGACGCTCAAGTTAATAACGGATATCACGAAAGTGTATTAGAAGTGATATACCACCCCAGAACAGCTTGGTGACCCGACATGAGTGGTTAGATCGGATATGACTGGCCGAAGGAGCTCAAGTTCGATTACAGTACTCGACCTCGCAGGGAGCTCAAGCATACATCTAAAGATACGAGGCGAGCTGGCTAAACGATGTGGAGGTCGGGTTCATTTAGGAGCTTGGACAGACAAAGGGACCTTAGGGCTCTGAGGTCGTAAGTGCGAAGGTTGTGGTTACAACTGTAACAACAAACTTCAACATTTCGATGTCTACAACAACCTGGTTACAGTCCGTGGCAGGTAAGTTATGAGGTCGTTCAGACGATCTAAGAACCTGATTGTCATATGAATATATGATAAGAGGGAACAAAATACTTTCAGGATGAAAAGTATATCTTGCTAAAGAGTATCAAGTCCTAAAGACGTGATAAGCTAGGAACGGTTGAACTTCTTCCTAGCCAGGATTCTTCTTGAGCAACAAGACACCCTAGTATATTAAGGGTGGACAGGTGTTGTATATGTTTTTGTTAGTATTCCTGTGTGTTTTTATAATCTTCTTTTGTCTTCATTTGAGTTCGATTTATAGGTTTTTCAATCCATTAGGTTAATTTTACTCGTTTATGTACTTTCATGTCATTTTAGTATTTTGTGCATATTTTTTTGTCTCTTTTTATACTTTATTTTATAAAAAAAATGTGCTCCGGAAACATGGTTGACGTCACCGGAAAATCCCCAAAAAACTGTCTGAAATGCACCGGTAAAATCAATGGAAAACTTGACAGAAAATTGTCGAAAAACATTTCAGAAAGTTCCTGGTTGGTCTGCGCGGTGGACCCTACACTCAGCTCTGCGGACACCTGCGCCCCTGCATGTTCGTGCCCATGCTCGCCCGTGTACGCAGACCTGGGCACCGGTAAAGATCATGTATTTATTTGTTATTGTTTAAAAGGTCGTGATTAAATGGTCAATCAAGTAAAGGTCGTGTATTTTTCCGCCATTAACCCTTAAATATATGATCACAAAATATGCAAAATTTTATAGCATAATTGTTAACTATGCGTCCGGTTTGGATAAACGATGGTATATATGCGACAAAATCTCGCATAACTGTTAATTATGTGGTTCAGATGGATATGCGATTATAATATCGCATATCTTTTCGTGATTTTTGAAGTGAAAAAGAAGTTTTTATGAAACAATGTGTAAAAGAAAGAGCATCTATTTATTGGGTTGTAAAAGATGTCCGCCCTTCAGTCATGTTATATATTTTATGGTACTTATAAGTATATATTTGAAAATTCTGCACCATCTAAATAATTTGATTGTCTTCGGTTGTCTTCGTGGGGGAGGTTTGAGAATCGACAATGATGAGGGCTTTATTGTATCTTATATTTATTAGGACTATCTAGTAGTTTTGAGTGTTGTTTGTTTGTGTTTGTTAGTTTGTGTTTGTTGTGACTATTACTCTCCTTTTTAAGAGTTGTGATTATTCACTTGTGGGATTTATATAGTTTGGTGTATTGTGCGTGTGTTAGTATAACTGAATTTTGTCTATCTTTGCGTAGTCTTCTCATTAGATTCAACTGTGTTGCTGTTTGAATATTTTTGGCATTTGTTTGGATGTATTTTATAAATTAATTTATCGTTCAAACAAAATAAATAAAAAACATTGGACAATTAATACATTTTTTTTTTCTTATAAATCAAATAAAATATTCATCTGCATAAACTTATTTTTCTAAATTTCGCATTTGTATAATTGTACAGTTAATTAATTACTTTAACGTTACACATATAAATCTATAAACTTGTCATTAATTACCCAAGGGTCCAGGCAGTCATGCAATTTCATGACCAGTCCGATTCTACGATCAAATAGGACATTAAATAGCCTCAAATTAACACCATTTTTGTAGTAGATGTGATCCTCTTAAATGAATGCCAGACTTGAAAACGCTATTCAACTACAATTTCCCTTAACATAATTATATTGATGGTCCACACAAGTTTGAAGCTTATATAATCAATGTGGCTAACTAATCTTGGCCAGCTTTCCATGGGACAAAAACCAGGTAAGCAAACAGTTTGATTTATTAAAATCAAGCGGATTCGTATGAATTGGCCCTCAACCGGCTCAATTTCAACCTGATCTAGTTGTTTCGCCGGTAGATCATTCTTCAAAACCTGCAAAGACTCCACACCAGAGGGATTTTTCAATGAAGTGTCTCCGATAATTAAGTTAGCACAGTGTAGAAGATGACGTGCAGTATATAAGTATATAGTGTGTAATGTTCTAGAAGGCATAGATCACTCCCTTTCATAGGAAGTTTTACTTTGTTGCCCAAGGCTGCACGGACTGTCTGAACACCCCATTTGTACTGCTCGATCTGCCTGAACTGCTTAATTCTGTTAAGCCACACCCTATTCGCATGTGGTCTTTATCCTGTTAATATTCCTTCATCCATTAGTCTGCTTAGTTAGATTGTCTGACCGTGCGACTGGTCCTAATCACGTCGAGGTAGAATATCACGTATGTTGAGCTCGCATGCCTTTTCTCTTGGCGGATCACACGACCGATCGTACCTTCAGGACGAGTTTCCACCAAGCCGTCCGAGGGTCCTAACTCGACCGGTGTCTTTTGAAACCTTCAATAATTTCCTCATCCTGAGGGCACGTATATAGTCGTTTGACCTCTGTCCGACCTATCTGTGCTTCTGTTCGACCATGCACCCGGTCCACCCGACCTTGTTAACCAGTTTATCGGGTTTGTACTACTTGGTGTGGTATCCCATATCATTTGTCCCCAGGAGGCCATATTTTAAATGATATTATTGAGCTTGTAGTTTAAGTCGAAACGCTCATTTCATATAAAAATATATTTACCATAAATATAAATATTGTCCATTACGCTTTTAAAAACTTAGAATCCGTAGCACCATCAAACTTAAAAAAAAATAGATTTTATTTATTTATAATTAAGTTCAGCATCTATAGTTTATAGAAATTTTTTGGTTGAAAATGTGATTTAAATTGAACTTTTGCAGCATATTGTGTAATATTTTTGTTGATAAGAGTTTATCAAATGAACAATTTTTTAAGACGAAAATAAATAAATTTAAAAACACGTGATTCCACACAAATAAAATATAAAAAAATAACATTAAAAAATGTAACAATCCAACTAAATACTGAGTTTTATAAATCACTAAACCGATATACAATGAGACTGAAAGAGTAAATCATCATAAATATTTTAAAAAATTTATCTAAAAATTAATGTAAATATAAGGTTTGTTATTGCACTTTTTATTAAATAAATAAATTATTAACTTAAATTAACGCAACATAGAAAATAATTTTAAATTATTAATATATCAAAAATACTTTTACATTTCTATACATATTTTATTGTATTTTTTTTTTTATAAAGCTACTCAGAATCAATTGGCAAAGTATTTCCGAATAATAACTAGCGCCAAGAAAAAAAAAGTTCGATTTTTTCTTTTTATTCATTTTCAATTCCAAATTAAAGATTGATAGATTTTAGAGGCCTAAAAAAAGTTTTCATATACCAAAATTACCATAGTATACCAAAAATAATGAATATATTTGAC